ACAGTCTCTTTCCCTCGCATTGTCGGTTCGGTATTGCTCGGTTTGTTGTTCCATCGCGCGCCCCTCCTGTTTTCGACCTTGGAATATGCCTGCCCGGCCCCCGCCCTCGCTGGAAACCCTTTGGGCGTCCTCGTTGTTATTGGTCAACCGCGGCGTGGACCGACACGCCAGTCAGTAGCTAGATGGACGACTGTATGGCTTCCCGCCCGGAGCCCATGTGTTTGTGCGTGTGTGTGAGAGGAGAGGAGGGGGGGAGGCTTGTCGTGAGTGAGAGAGGGCGCATGTATTTGAATGTGTATGTGTGTGCGCGCTCGCGCGCTGTTCGCAGAGGGGGTACGGGCCACAATACAGGCGCACACCTTTGCCATGTCCCATTAGCGTCGGGGTGTTGGGCTGCCTCCAGGGGCTGTCTCCTCCTGGGGCTGCCTCCAGGGGCTGCCTCCAGGGGCTGCCTCCAGGGCAGCTGCCAGGGGCTGCCGCGAGGTCTGCCTCCAGGTCTGCCGCCGGGGGGTCTGGGGCTGCCGCCAGGTTTGCTGATAGGGGGCTGGCTCCAGGCCCCAGCTGCCGCCGTGGCGCCGGTCCGTCCGTACCAGCCGCGGCCCCGGCTCAGCCGGCGGGCTTCTCTTCTCCTTTGTATCCCATCCCCCGCGCCGCGCTGCGGAGTAAGGTATTCGCCTGCAGTCCTGGGCGCGGCTGAAAAGGGGGGTGGGGTGAAGGGCACAGCAGGAATAGAAAGGAAAACCATCGGCGTCGGCGCCATGAGCCCCGACAGAGCAGAGCGCCATCTAATCTCTTCGCACGGGGCTGTCTCTTCTCCCCGTCTTTTTGACTTGACTCCTGCGTTGTTTTCCCTTGCTCCCTCTTTCTTTGTTTGTTTCGTTTCATAGGCGTTGATGCAGTGTGTGTGTTTTTGTGCTGCCCCGTAGTGCACGGTTGGCTCGGAACCGCGGCGCAAAAAAAGATGGTAAAAGTAATTATTGTTTTCTCGTTTGTTCTGTTGTAGAGCTCCTGCTTCGACGGGCCCGTAGATGAGAGCTAGAGGAGCTTTGTAGAAGAGGCTGCCTCGGCGCGCGGCGGGGCGCGTGGCGCGGCGCAGCACGACAGCGCACCGCACCACGGCACCACCGGGGCCCCTAACATCCCCTTTTCTTTTTTAGTTTTCGTCCTCCGCTAACACTGGCCGCTTTAGCCTGTAGCGATCGTCGGCGCCCATCCTACACATAAATTACCGCACCCCTCTCTCCGCAGAACGGTTCCAGGAGGGGCTCGACAATCTTCTTACTCCTCTCTGTGACTCCCTCTCTATCTCTACCCTCTAGCGCTCCTTTTCGTGAGCGAAATTACTTGAAATGTACTTTTAAAGCTCGGCCCCCCGGGCTCCGCTAAAACATACCATCGAGTGAAAAAAAAGCAAAAAGTTTATAGTTGGTTAAGGAAAACGTCGCGGTGCTACAGGCCTGCCAGTCGAGGCTCTGGGATCGCATCGGGGCAAGGGGGGCTTCACAGGCACATTGTCGCTCCAGTCAAAGAGATCTCGAAAAAAGGACCCCAAACACCAACAAAACAAAAGATCTCTTTGGTGGAACCAACTATACGCGTCTGTTCAGCTTCCCTTGCCTCCACGTATGAGGTTAAAATTATAATGTTGCTGTTAAAAGTACTGTTAAAGCACTGTTAAAAGTAAGTTGCTATAGAAGAAAAGCTCATGTTTTGTTTCCCAATTAGCTCCTTTTTTCATGTACTTGTTAATTCTTCCGTCAATTTCGTGCAAACTTTTCGTATTCCAATGCACCACATTCTTTACCTTTTACTTAAATAAAAATCACCGAAGGAAGGGTGACGTAAAATGTGTACATTATGTAGATTTAATTGATAAGGGTTCGCCAGTTTTATTCAAATTGTTGATGAAAAGTATTTATTTTTTATTTAGACTAAGTCGATCACGTTTATGTGTGGGATGTGTTTTGCTGCTGCAATATTTTTTGAGAAGGAAGTAAAATAAAGCGACTCAGTTCTCATCAGATACAGCCGTCTTATGTCTCTTTTTTTCTCACCTTCCCGATCCAATTCAACCCGAAAGGCCAGCTATCTCGTTCACAAGTGAAGATCAATACTCATATAGGTTAGTAGAGAATCTCTACCCGGTTCTGGCTGCTGATGGCGCTGATGGTCCCGGAGCCGGGGTGCTGTCCTGTCGTGGCCCGGCTCGGGGCTCAGCGGTACGGATCGATATCGGATGCTATTTCTGCTACAAGTGGCGTGGAGTGGCGGGGAGTCTGTCGCCCGGGGGGCGGGCCCCACCTATACCCTCTCATTGGATTTATTTATTACGGTGGAACAGAAGCCGGGCTTTATACTTTGTATTTTTTTGACAGAGAGAGAAAGTGTTTTGGATAAGGACCGAGTACCCCGGCCCGGCGCCGGCAGTCCCCACAGAGGATCGCAGGGGAGGAGAGGAGCATCATAGAAGGTTGTCGACAGCGACGCTTCAATAATAGGGAACCGCATAATGTGTTAGAGTGTGGCTGAGTCGTACAAATTCGTAGTTTACACTAAGTATACACAGCACTCGCAGGCGGTTGCGGGTATGCCTGTCGTTGTTTTAAGGGCCATCCAAAAAGTACGCCCGTCGTTTGCCGTTTCTAGACCACCACGTTCAGCCTATCTCTGTGCGAGCTCTCATAGCGCCTAATAGGTAGGCACCACCTTGCATGCATGGCATGCGTGTATTGCGAAGTGGCCTACCCTAAGGTTCGCAGGCGCTGAGCTTCCGTCGTTTGCTGAATGAATCTGAGAATAATAAAAACAGACGAACTCTCTGGATGACCCCTTACAGACGGACGGGGAGGGGGGGGGGCCTGCAAGAAAAACCCACCAGTACCAGCGGGTACAAAGACAAAAGGTATACGCGATATACGCAAACAACACCACTGGAGGATGTGAGGACACGATGAACAACGTGATGCTGGACCTGGTAGCTTCCAAGAAGAGCGCACACACGCATACACACAGTATTGGTGAGGTGATGTACGATGTGCCGGGTGTGATGGCAGCGCCCGAGGCTCCGGACGTCACTGTGGCCCAGCGCGGGCGGCGCGATTCTATTGGCGCGATTGACTGGGCGCGTGGAGCGGCTGGCCAGCGGTGCGGCTGCTCGCGGCCTCGAGCGATGAGTGTGGCGACAGTCACGCTATGAGTGTGACGACAGTCCGGGGACAAGAATTACCCGAAAATGGCAGCGGCAGGTGATCCCGTGTCCAGCCATGCGGCTGCGGCAGTGACGAAACTGGATAACTAGAGTGGTTAGGTGGCGGGTCGGGCTCGGGCTGGCCAGGACCTGGTCACGTCCCAAGAGATCGTCCAGAAAGTACGTCTGTTTTAATCCCGATTCATTCGGCAAATGGCGCGAGCACGGCGCCTGCGAGACTCGTGGTAGGCCACTCCGCAGCACACGCAGGCGCTGCATGCGTGATGTTGCCTACCGACCAGGCGCTATGAGTACTTACATAGGACTTTCTGGCTATGGTCCCCAAACGGGGCTTTGGTCGTGCTGATGCACTCTAATTCGTTTGGCTCGCGTGGGCCCCGGCACAGGTGGTCCGAGATACAGGCAGGCGATACGGCAAATGTGAGGTAACCATCGCGACCGCCATCGCCGTCCGCGCCCCAGTGGCGGAGGCGATGACAAGGGAGCTCGGGTAAACAGATGAATCGGTTTATAGGTTCTGGTTATTCGCGTCGAGTAGGATGAATCAGTGCTGAGGTGTAGGTTCGTGCACGCGGTCATTGATTTGGGCCAAACACCGGTCTGTCTCTGTTTTCGTGGCTCACGTTATGGGGGAAAAGGGGGGGGGAGGCACTCACTTCGACAAGAGATGTGACTTGCCAGTCCGTCCGTCTGGCGAGACAGACCGGCGTCGAGGTGAGGGGGTCAGCCCGACAGAGATGCCGCTTGAGGAGGCATCAACTTTAACATGATTGGAGTTGTACGGTTGCAACTGGTTAAATTTCGAGCAGTTTGCGATCATTTCCGACCACGCCCCTCGAAATGTCTTCGAATCACCTTCCACAAGATTTTGGCGACTTAAGTCGCACTTTTGCTGGACACCTTTAGTTTTGGCACCCTTTTCCCGCAGATGACCAGGCCCAGCCAAGGTAAGATGCTGTCTTATTGAACACCCCTTGCCTGGGCCTCTCTGTAGGAAAATGGTGCCAAAAATGCTACTTGAGTCACATAGAAACCTGGGTCGGGCGACGTAAGTCACACAGCTGATGGACACCCCAGATTTAAAGTGTAGTGTTGCTGCAGACCCCAGGCAATCAATATGCAAACTTTCCGTGTTCACGTAGTGTTTTTCCCGGAGCCGTCCGGCAGCGGACAACCTCAAGGGCCTGCAGCAGCGAACCGCCTCCACGTCCTCCTCCAGACTACTGCGCCTATACCTGGCTGAGAGCTTCCAGTCCAAAACAAACAACTACTCTCGGAAGGGAACTTTCCTCTCCGAGTGCGCGGCGCGGGCGCGGGGCGGGGCCAGGCCATTCACACCGCGCGCCGCGCGCCGTCTCCTTCTTTTTCCACGCATTTCTGGAACGGCCAGCTGATCGGTAGGTCCAGGTCCAGGATCCGGTGCCGGGAGGGAGGGGCGGGCTGCCTACCTTGGAAGCCCTGAAGGAGGCTGCGGCGGGCCCGGCCGCTGGGCGCCCCACTCCCAGGCTCCAGAGGCGCCCGGGCCGCGGGGCTTCCAGAACCTGCCGTCACCGCCAGCTGGAAGCGGCCCGGTGGGGCGGCGGGGGCCCGGGCCCCGTCCCAAACAAGAGAGCCTCCCGATGGGTACGCTCGGCTCGGGCCTGCTCGCCAGTGTAGTGCCATCGGCGGTACGTACCCGACCCGAGCGAGGCGGAGCGAGCGGAGAGGAGTGAGCACGACAAGCAGACAGCACCAAGGCCCCGGCTGGAGGGCCTGGAGCGCGCCTGGAGAACGCCTGGAGAGCGCTGCAAAGAGACTCCAGCAGAAACACAGCACAGGTGAGCGAACTGGCTTAGCCTGGGCGCGAGAGGGCCGATTATACATGGGCTTTAATTTTTTAAGTGAATGTTTCAAACAGTGGTTTGTTGGATCGTGCGCGACTGTCACGTAGAATAAAAGCCCACTTGTATGGTGTTTTTGTTTTTCACCGGAGAGACGAGGGTAGAGTGACATTCGCAGAAAGCCATCACATTCCACCACCTAATTACATAATGACAGTATTAAAACAATGTGATGGACCCGACGGAGGGCGCCAGCGGCGCGCCCGCGGGGAGCGGCGCGGGGCGGGGCTGGGTGGGTGGGTATTCCCGCTGTCTGCTGCAAAAATAACAAATGACTGGGTCCGCGCGCCCCCGGGTGGTGCTGGCGGTGCCGCTGCCGCTGCCGCTGCCGCGCGCACCCGGGCCCCGCCTGGCCTCTCGCGATCGCGGCCAGAGATGTGACTCGTCATGACATGTGACGGGTAACGACATGGGGGCCTGGCGGAGGGCATGAGCCGCGACACGGCGCCCGCGGCCCGGTGAAAAACGAGCCAGGCAATCTAAACATTGCCAACGCAGCCCACCGCGGTTTGAATGACAGCTTGATTCCATTACGTGGCGGTTGCCGCGGCTGCGGTGCGTTATGCGGTGGCGTTGCCCCACGGGGCGGCTGCGGGCGGCGCTCCTAGGAGGCGCCGCGGGCACGATCGCTATGCGCCTTCCGCCTACACTGCAAAAAGCCATACCGTATCGACAAGTTGCGCCATACGCACGCACGCCGCACCGCCTCCACCCGCCGCCCACCCCCCGGTCCTTCCCACGCTGACTAGCTGGCTCCTCGCCTGTACCATATTTTTGCGTCGCTCACTGCTCCCTTTTAAAAGGATACCGCTGCGCTGGCGCACCTTTCTCGCCCCTCTTACTTCCCAACCCTCCCCCTCTGTCGCTTCACCCCAAAAGCACTGGGTAGACATACGCGGCATGGCAGTGGCTTTTCAAGCGCTGCGCCCGAGCCCCGCCCTTCCCCTCCTACCCCGCCGCCCCTCTTTTCAGGTGCCGTATCTCGGCATAAAAAAGAGGCTTTTTCCTCCTCTTTCTTTTACATACACGACGAGTAATCAAAAAAAAAAATCAGAGTAGAGGAGGCAGTTACATGGCATTCAAAAGACGGCTTAAGAGGACTACACACCACTACGAGCGTGTAAATTGAAAGTAAAACTATTTTGGTGAGCAAACTCCTCAGCCTCTCCAGCCCCACTCGGGCCGTCCCGTGTGTAGTGGCCTAATGTGTGTTGCCCGCCGTGCCAAACCTCGTGCGTCAGCCAGGCCAGCCAGGAGGACCTCTAAACCGCAAAGAAGCCAAGAGGGAAGAGGGGGGGGGCAGTAATTGTAAAATAACAATGTGCTTGCCGTGTATGAGTCTCGTCCATGCATGCACGTTGCAGACCAGCCGAATATCTTCGCGAATGCACGTGCTAAACAACTAACTGCCTCCGTGTGCCGTGTGTGTTGTGACTGTGGTGCCCGGCCCGGCCCGGCCCGGCCGCGGCGAGGCAGACAGACGACCACACTAGTCTCGTGGAGCTCTTTTCCCGATTGGGTCGCGGCGAGCCGCAGCAAGTGCCGGGCGCGTTGATGGGAGGCGGGGGAGTGAAAAAAAAAACCCGCTTAAAAGCGTTTTAAAAGGCCGGCTGAAAAACAGCGTGAGAAACAGGATAAACGGCCGTTCTCTTTCTTCCGATAAGGCGTGGGTAAAAGGGCTCCATTGACCCCCCCCCCCCCCTCTAATCACTTCCACCCCCGGAGCTTAATCAATGAATAGGCCAGTCGGGTCCGGCTCAGCCTTTTCCCCATTGTGACTTTCCGCGAACTTATTCGGCGCGCGTTTTGTTTTCCGAAGGACTTTGGCAAATCCACTCAGGCGGACAAAACGTTGACTGATGGCTGGAGCGGCGGGCGCATTGGGCGCTGACTGCGCCGAGCTGACTTCATGCTGCTGCTGTTTTTTATTTTTATTCAGTCCGTCAACCGGAGACGAGAGGATGCTGCCGCTGACTCCTGCTGAAGTCGCGCGTTGGAGGAGATATAAGGTCGACGCTTCGGAGTAGACATTATTTTTTGGGGCCGGGCCGCGATGTTCCCCGGCGTGGCCCGGCGGCGCGCGGTGCAATGACAGTACAGGCGGCGCAATGTCACTCCCGCGCGCCTTTACAACCGCGCAAGACTCGGCGACGACGCACTAAACCACAACCCCGTCCCCCGCCCCGCCCCGCCCTAAGGAACAGGGGCTCTTTTAAAACGCTAAAACTGTCGTCCGGTTGCAGCGGCGCCATGGGACAGCAGCCGACGGAGAAGCAGATCGAGTCCGAGGTGGACGCCATCCGGCAGTGGCTCGCCAAGCAGCCGCACCTCCCGGGTGACACCATCAGTGAGTGCGAAAGGCGCCGCGCTAAGGGATCATCCACAAAGTATGAGACTGCCCACCAGCTCAGGCTACTAAAGCTCTCATACCTGCTGATCGGTAGGCAACATCTTGCCTGCAGTGCATGCGTGCAATGCGGTGTGGCCTACCCTGAGTTTCGCAGGCGCCAAGCTCCTGTGATTTGTCGAGCAAACCTGAGAAAAGCAGACGTACTTTCTGGCCGATCCCTAAGACGTTTCTTACTTAATTTTGTTTTCCATTTTCTGGCATTTATGAAACTTTTAAATTAATTTTTCTTTGATTTTTGACTATATTTTTTTAGGCTGTACACTGATTTTTGCTGAGCTCGCGAAGAATCCTTTGGGGGTCACCACCGTGACTTTTCATCTCTCTTTCACTGTCATGCAGGTGACAACCTCTTGCGGCGCTTCCTGCACAGCTGCGACCACTCGGTGGAGCGCTCCAAGACCGTCCTGGAGCTCAACTGCACGCTGCGCAACGCGGCGCCAGAGTTCTTCAGCCAGCGCGACCCGCTGCAGCCCAACGTGCAGGCGGCCTTCGACGTCGTGTGAGTTTACCCGGCCACGGCCAGGCCTGTTGCCCCAACAAACACAAAGTCGTCACAAATACGTCGTGTAAAGTTTTCCACTTGATTTCCGCGACAAAATGACATTTCTGAACGCGAACGGCGATTCCACAGGGTGGCCCATCGGCGCTGTTCTTTCTTCTGGTTTTACTGTACCGGATTACCGGATACAGGCGTGCGGACGGGTTGCATACTCACACGGAGCAGCACGGGGCCGTGGGGCGCCTCGGTAGGCGACGATAGGCAAGCCCGCCCGCACGCCTGCATCCGGTACAGTGTACAGCCAGAAGAAAGAACGGTGGCGATGAGAATCCTTTCTCCCCTCTCCCGGCACAGCGACGTGATCCCGCTGCCCAAGCGCACCCCGGAGGACTACCAGGTGTTCCTCTACCGCCTCAGCGACCCCGACCCGGACAAGCTCGTGTACAACGACTACGTCAAGATGCTCCTCCTGGTCGCCGACGCGCGCATCGTCAGCGAGACCAACATCCCCGCCGGGGACGTGCCCGTCTTCGACCTCAAGGACGTGTCGCTGCGCCACCTGGCGCGCGTCGTGCTCCCCAGCCTCCGGAAGTACATGCAGTACTTCCAGGTGAGTGTCTCCCCCGGGGCTGTGTGTTTGTTGTTTGAAGGCAAATGGCTGCTTGTCGCTGCGCGTTGCTGCGCGGCGCCGCCGCGGGTCGCGGGTCCGCCCGGAGCATAGGCAACACGCCAAAGCCGCGGGGCCACTTAGTTGCCGGGCCCCGGGGCGTTGACGTCACGCTGGCAGTCTCCCACGCCCTCTGCCCCGCGGGGCGGGGGTGGGCGCGGGCAGGCTGGGGCAGCTGGGCTGGGGCCGCCGCCGTCCCGCGGCACCCCCGCGCCAGCACCGACCCACCCTCTGCTTGCAGGAGGCTCACCCCGTCAAGCTCAAGCACATCCACATCATCAACGTGCCGCCCATCATGGACAAAATCATGACCCTCGTCAAGCCGCTGACGCGGAGAGAAGTGTCCTCGATGGTGAGTGCGCCAGGACAGCTGCCGAATAAGGCCTTACCAAAAACAGAGAGGAGGGGGTGTCTCAAAGGTTTCCGTTCCCCACAGATCCACTATCACCCGCCCGGCGACCCCTCCTTCTACGACTTCGTGCCGAAAGAACTGATGCCCAAAGACTACGGGGGAGATCAGCCCAGCTGCGCAGAGCTGAAAGGTCAGCATGCCATCCACGTGTGTAGACCAGTCTGACAGCGTAGGACTAAACGACTATACATTTTGGCTTGCAGAGGTTTGGAGGAAGAAGGTGATCGCGCACCGCGACTTTTTCCTGGACGAGCGCACGTGGAAGGCCGAGGAGTCCAAGAGAGTCGGAGGTCCCAAAAGCAACTTTGGGGTCGAAGGGTCTTTCCGGTCCTTGGCCATAGACTAGAACTTACAACAGACATGAGATGTTTGGGTGCAAACATCAATTTTCATTAAGGGAAATGCCTTTCTCTCCAATACATGCTCTTCCTTGTGAGTTTCATTTCATGCAAATACAGACTGAAGTATTCATATAGATAATAAGATTTTTATTTTAAGACAGAATAAAAAATAAATGTATGCTATTAATTCTATTGCACTTATTATTTGCTGGGAATATTATCAACAACAAATTGAGGTAACACACAGCAAAAGTAAAGACAAAATCAAAATAAATTGAAGTCCTCATATATAATATAAAATTAAGAATCTAGCAGGTTTGCTTTGCAATAATACAGGGAGTATGAATATAAAAATTAATTAATTCCTATCACACAACTAACAATGGGCCATGCATTGGCCATAATCATGCAAAGTTGCAGTTCTCCACATCCATTGCATCCATTTTCAAGGCATTAGACAAGTCACGTTTTACTTTTAAGTGCTCTTCCATTTTAGAAGGTGTTAGCTTGTTATTGGTGCGTTCGGATAATGGAAATTTGGAGGGAGTGATAGTAGATACAGAGAGGTGACACCGACGGCAAACAGCCATGTACTTGTCTTCTCCACCAATAATCTCTAGCTGGAAAGTTAATCATTCAGAATGGCAGATATAACTTGTATTTCAAATTAGGCTTCACAGGGATCATCTCTTCTGCACTTACCTCTTTTTCTAAGGATGTCCGTTTTGTAAATGAAGCATCACTAAAGCATGCCATGCAGACTGCTTTTAGTTTCACAACACTTTCAGCCAAAGGTATAAGCCGTAAAATGTCTCCAAAGCCAATCCGCTGAAAGTCACCATCCAAAGCAGCCACAATAACAATTTTACCAGCATTAGCCATTTCTTCAGCAAAGTCAACACAATCAGGAAACTACAAGGATAAATTTGTTAAACATTAATTAACATGACTGTACTGCATGTACAGTATCACTAACGACATAACAAATTACTTACAAATTGTCCTTCGTCAATACCTATGACATTCACATCATCGGCAAAATGTCTGACTGTTGACAACTTTTCAGCAGACACTGCAGGAAGCTCTTGCTTGTCATGTGTGGCTATACCCGTAGTACTATATCGGACATCTCTGGCGTATCTAAGAATCAGGCAACGGTATTTGGCAATTTGGTACCGTTTCAACCGTCGAATCAACTCTGTGGTCTTTCCAGAAAACATAGGGCCAAAAATGACCTGTAAAATATGAAAATAAAACCAAGTAAATTAACATGTTTCTTCTTTTCAAAGCTGTACAATTTTTGTCTTTCCCAAGCCCTAGACAAGTAAATTAAAATGTTTCTTCTTTTCAAAGCTGTACAATCTTTTTTTTGTTCCCAAGCCCAAGACATGAGATGTATGTTTCAAGATGAAAAAATTACCTTCTTAGTGGCAAAAAATGTTATTTTCATTTTAATTGTTTTTAATATTGAGATAAATATAGAGATGAATTGGGGAGGAGAAATCAGGAACAATCAGATGTGAACTTTCACAACGTTTTTAATTAAAAATGAGGATTACATCTCTTAGCTGCATTTCTTGCATCTCAAACTGGGAATACATAGAGACGTTTTTCAAACAACAAGCATGTACCCTTCATTAATTGCATCAAACAATACTGATAGTTATTTTTATTAATAAATTTGGAATGTAAAAATGTAAACAAAACAAACTTCCTTAAACCACACGAATGCTCTTTCATAAAGTATTGACAAGGTAAAAAATTTTGTTAGCACGGTTATTTACAGTCTTTAAGAGTTATACCAAACAAGTTGTCTTTAAAATATTTTATGTCTTACACATATAGGAAAACTGATAAAAGCAATCTTCAAATAAATCTAAAAAAAAACAACACATTATCAAAAATCACAGATGACAATGGTAAAGCAACTGCTCAAGGAATCTTGACTGTTTTTGTAAATCAACATGCACAAAGACACTAGAGTCCACACTTGAGACTGATCCATAGGTATACAGACAGGAAGGCACATACTGACACATTACAGACAGGCAAAGAGATTCAGTGCCGTGACCAATTAAAGCAAATGACCAGATTTCAAGCTACACACTTTTCGATGAAGTCTTACCAATTTTTAAAAGTCTTATCACATTTAAGGACGTTTTTTCCTCAGCATCGTCAACAGGCCTCTTGCCTTCTGCATTTCTCAAATCAACAATAGCCCCCTCTTTAACAAGAAGTTCCACAAGTTTAGCATTACCAGAAAAACAAGCATGATGTAAAGCACTGTTGCCTCGCAAGTCTTGTAAATTTAAGTTACATTCTCCTGTTTGAGTGAGGATTCTGGCAGCTGCAACACGCTGATGCTGACAAGCCAAGTGAAGAGGAGTGCAGCCTTTCTGACGAGTACGAACATTGGGATATGCTCCAGCATCTAATAACAAGCGCATCAAATCAGACTGACCATTCATGGCTGCAATATGCAAGGGCGTAAACCCTTCCGAATTGGAAACATTTACATTTAAAGTGACTCTCTCTGACACTGCACCTGATTTTACATCTATATTTTTAGGCCTGCAGTTCTCACAAATGCATAAAGGATGACACATGACAACATTACTCACTTCATTATTGCACTGAAGACTTTCTCCAGGTCCTTCTAGCCCTAGATAGTAGCATGCAAGACGGGTATCTCCAACAGCAATAGCTCTCAGCAACTTTTCCACTCTCTTTATTTGTTCAGTGTTGTGAGGTCTTATGCTTGAATGTTCCCCAATACTGCCATTTAATGAGCAGGTTTCATGGTCATCACTGAAATCAAGCTTCTCTTTGTAAACTGCAGCTATAGAGACATCAGACTGAGTCTTAGATGGTTTCTTTAGAAGGTCTAGTGGTGAGGATTTACCAGTGGCCCTGCTTGAGACAGCATTGGAGAGCAGTCGCGATACATGCAGATTATGGGCATAGTGACTAGGAGTCAATTTACGCTTATTCTCTATGCTAGGGTTTGCACCATATTCCAACAGAATGTTCACAATTCCTTCATAACCCCAGCGAGCTGCATGATGCAGGGCAGTGTCTCCATTAGTATTGGTAGAATTTACATCCAACCTCACTCCTACATGCTCCGAAAAGTATAGAAGAGCCTTCACACAACCTTCATGTCCATTGCCAGCACTCAGATGAAGAGGTGCATTGCCTTCATTATCTCGACATTGGATTTCTGCACCAGTGTGAGCAAGTAGCAACAAGGCATTTTGATGACCCCTTGATGCAGCGTAATGCATGGGAGTTGATCCACTGTAGTCAGACACGTTGACGGAAGCTCCCCGAGAAAGAAGAAGATCAACTATCTGTGGCTGACCATAAAGGCTTGCCACATGGAGAGCAGTAAAACCTCTGTCATCACACGAGTGGATAGTAGGTGTTGTGACACACAAGACTTTTGACAACAACCCCTCACATCTGTCACATGAGCAGAGCGGGTGGCAAAGGGCAAGACTAGAATCAACCTCCTTTTTAGGCTGTTTTGTACCATTATCTAACACATTGACAACCTCATCTTCATTCCCAACTCTAATGTGTTCAAAAAGGTATGCAATAGATGATGGATCTAAATCTGATCTGGCCTCCAGCTTGACTGTCTCCACAGAATTGCTGATAACTTCAAAGTCATCATCACTTCCTTCACTTTTAGATGACTCATAAACCCACTGTGCTTCTGGTTCAGAAGGACCTAAGAGCACTCCTGACTTCACATGCTCAATGGCAGCCTCTAAGGAGGTGATGAGAAAGCTTGCTTCATCAGTTTGACAACTAGCACTAGCTGAAAATCTAAATGTTTTCATTACTGTAAGATGAGCAATCCAGTTAGCAAGACTGGCTTTGATAACCAAAAACACCATCATCGGGAGCAAGTCATCAGCAGCAATGATATTGCCTTTAGTTGGGTCTTCCCCAGGTCTAGTCCTAGATATGGCAGCTAAAGTTTTCTTAATGCACCCAATTTTGCCTAATACTGTACTGTATCTATCAATTCTTGCAAGCTCCTGCTTAGCCTTAGGTACTGTGTCATACAAATCTGACCTAACACCTAGATCTCTGAGCTGAAGATCAGACACATTTCGAATAATTTTGTTTAAAGCTGCATCCTCATATGCTGTGCAAGCAGTGACCCCCTTGATAAGAATATGATAGATACCATGATGTAAATAAGTTTCTACAGCAACCTTGACACTTTGAAGAAGATGTTTGTTGGCAGTTGTCTTCTCTCTTAAACGGGCGTCGCGAAGTGCAATTTGAAGACACCTGGAGTACAGTGCACTGGTTTGGTCTCGTTGCTTCTGAAGAGGTTCCAGTTCAACACCGTCATTGTCTTTAAGAAAGTTGGTAACTGCGTCATCCATTTGTTCCAAGACATCTTTGCCACTGCTCTCTGTCCACAACAAATCAATACAATCCTGCAATGTATTAACAGATACAATACCAACATCGCTCATTTGCCCTGGTTCACACTGCTGGTCGAGGGGACTTTCAACACACAAAACTTTATACTTCATGTAATCATCAGTGTAGAACGTTTCTTCAAAGAGAATGTGAGTGCTGTACGGGCGAGAAATGTCATCCTGCTCAACTGTGATAACTCTGTTGCAAATACGGACATCCTTCTCATTCAAAGATCGAAAATGGCTCTCTGGCAACTCATCACTGGGAATCAGAATGTGACTGTAGATGTCATTGTCCGTCAGGGCGTACTTGGGCAAGGACCCAGCTCGCGGGACACAGATCACCCATCCTTCGGCGGTGGCCTTTTGAAATAACTCTTTGTGTTCGCCGTTCAGCATTTGGTAGAACACATTCTCGTTCAAGTCTTCGTCGTAGTTGGTTTCCATTTCCATTCATTCCTCACGAAGAAGCTTGGGCGTTGACCGGGCCAGCGATGGTTCTCTTGGGGTGGAAGGACACGCAGGACGACGCAAGAATGCAGGTGCACCTGGACTGGAGACGGGCGCAGGTTATGTAATCAAATCACATTGAACCGCGGCCTTCTTGGAGGAAACGAATCCAAACAAAGGACCCCCCGCCGAGGGTGCGGGGAACAGAGGGGAAGCCCGGTGGGAGGGGAAGGGGGCCAAACTCGGATTCGCGCCAATTTCGTCTTATCAGCTGATTAACCGACAGGGCAATTGCCAAATAGGGATGGGAGGTGAGCTCCAGGCGAGACGACACACTAGACTGCGTGCGATTATACAACCGCAATGGCGTTCGTTCTGCGGCTCACAAGTCCGGCGCAAACGGTTGTAGCAGCGCCGACGTGAGGGAGGTTAGGTCCCCAAGGTGCACTCGTTGCAATGGGAAAACACACAACACACGGCGGAAGAAGTCTTGTTCAAACACCACACTTTGGCCCTGAGTCCCAGTCACGTCGTCACCCAGCGCCGTCCGAAGAATGACAAAGCCCAGCCGCAGCGGGCGAGAAACTGATAAGGCCATAACCCCTCCCTCCATCGTCATTAGGCCGGAGGTTTCTGCTCGGAACAAAGCAGAAAGCACCACAACCGCAAATGGATGCTCCTGAGATACTCGCGGACGTCGATAGCGGGGCAAACAAGAGGGACAGTCGGATGGACCGAAAATACCCAAACCAAGATATCATCAGTTCAATATGTTGTGCCGCCGACCCTACGTAACATCTTCGTGTTGGCGGCTTTCATACCTGGATTTCTCCGCAAGCTATTCCGTTCGGCATTGTATATATGTCCTGGACACGTTTCGATATTAACAGCAAACAGCTAGACACTTGTCCTCTTGTGGGGTCGTTGATCTTGATCGGTGAACCGGTGAGAGATGACTGAGAGAAAGTGACAGGATAGGAATGGGCAATGAACCCTTTTCGCGCCTTTTGCGACATGATGTCATAGGGCGGGAAGCTCCCTCCCTCCATACCCCCGATCCTCAAACTCACTTCGGGCGCGGGTTGCCTACTTGCCAGGGTATCTCCCTCTTGTGATGTTGAAGCGTTTTGTTTAACTGCTTTACCTTCGCTTGGTACGACACTGGACTCGTCTCTAAGGGTGGCTTATACTGACCCTCACCAGTCCACATGCCCCTCCTTTATTTGGCTTTATACTTTTCAGCATACACGCCTGCGGGCGGGTTGCATATCGCACGGGGCCGCACGGCTGCATGCGGTATAAGCAAAAAAAAAAGGAAGGTGTCTGTGAAGCACCCTGTACAAAGGGGTCATCGCCGGGTCTAGGGCAGGCGCGGTTAAGGACCGGCGGGCCGGCCGGGGGGG